TAATTAATAATTTTTATTATTGTTTCTGCCTAGATGTTGGAAGGAATAAAAAATATTTTTCTAAAAGATAATTTTGCCTAGATGTTGGGGAATTATTATGAATAAATTTTCATAAAAAAAAAAAACACATAAGAAATTTTTAATTAGTTTTGAAAAATTATAAAAAAATTGAACTTGCTCCGAAAATGATGATGAAGAATTTTAGAGATGTTCGTGTTTTACTTAAATCTTAAATACTAATTTTTAATTTTTAAAATCTTAAGTTTTTTTAAAACCCCTAAAAATTCAAAATCCCCAAAGATTCAAAACCTCATAACAATCCTAAAGACACGTGTGAAAATTCTATTTGAAGTAATTTGTTCCCGAATGCCGCCTAGATGATGGGGTATTTAAGAAATTTTACTTCGTTAAGTCTTTTCACACGAGTTCTTAATTCACATTAATAATAAGATTAATAAATAAAAAGTATAATAAAATTAAAATCTTAAATATAAACAGTCGTACCTAAGCTCTGTCTAGATGTTGGAGAGTCGGGGTGGTTTTATTATACTTAAGAATCAAACACTTAAATTGCATTTCATTTTAAATGGCATTCATTAGCATACATACGTTGACATGTTATCATTGATAATTGATTGTATTATTCTCTCTTTAATTTGTTGTTCGATGATAAAAGATTTTATAGTTAAAAACAAAAAAAAAGGAATAATACTTTTAAAAAAAAATCCTTTTGTGATATTATAAAATAAAATAAAAATAACATTTCGAAAGAAATAATTCTTGATACTCTGCCTAGATGTTGGAGAGTCACTAACAATTATTTTCTATAAAGATTGTTATTTCATTTTAAGGATTATTGTATTAAATTTTAGGCGAAAAGAGTTATTTTAAATTATGCCTAGACGATGAAAACTTTTAAGATAATTCTTTAACTTAAAGATTTTCTCAATAGTTCTAAATAAATATTTTAGCAAAATTTTATTTTTTTCAAGTAAAGGGAATTAGTGTTAAATTTCAAATTAAAACAATTTTTATCCAACACCGAAAATAGCGCGTAATTAAATGATACCAATTTATGGGTGTTGTAAGGGTGCTAATCATTCCCCATGCGTAACCGAGTCCCAAACTCAACCTGATTTTTTGTAGACCGAAATTTATCTTTTTGATAAACTTTAAACCTGTTTTTATAGTTTTATCAAAAGGATAACATTTTGAGTGGCCAATCATACCCTAACAAAGATTAGTGGCGACTCTCCCATTTTATTTTTCTCGATTTTTAGAAACTCGTTTTATGTCTGGCGATCTCAAAACCGTTATGACAATTTTTTATATAATAACATTATTATTTCATTTAAATTTAAAATGTTTTACTAAATTTTTTTATTCAATAGGTTCATGGTAAGTTTTCCTAGCCCCAAAATGAAAATTTTAGTTTCGTTTTATCTAGTAATCATAGTTCAATCTGTGACAACTTTAAGTATAAAAAAGTTATCAATGATTAACAATTAAGTTATCATTAATTTGCTATTATGTAAGGATATTTGATTTGCAAATTTTTAAATTTTGGGAAGGAAAGTGATTTAGAGAAAAAGTGATATTAAAGGGAAATGTATGATTCCTAGACTTTGTTGACTTAGGAAATTTAAGATTTTTATATTTGATTTAGATGAATGTAAAATTACCTAATAAAATTTTTTATAGTATTATCTTTAATAACACGTGAATAACATGTGATATTCATAATATTAACATGTGAATAACTCATGACACGTTAATAACAACATTATCTTTATTTAAACTAAATAATTCTAAAAAATAATTTTTTATATATTTATCAAATATAATCTTATAATTCTAATTATTATATTAACGTCAATTGACTTTATATATATATATATATATATATATATATATATATATATACATGGATCGACCTTTATGATAAAGTCAATGTGAGGGTTGGAAAGGGCTGGTAAACATCCCTGAGGGTTTTCTAAGCCCATGAAACAAATTTCATGTAAATAATATTAAGTAAATGTATTTTAAATATTTTATGTAATAATATAAATAAAGATATTTTATGTTTTATTTTTTCATATTTTAACAAATATTACGTTTTTACCTTAAAAGCGTTGTCATTTTAATAAAAACTGTGTTTTTTATTTTAAAAACGTCATTTTTGTTGAATTTTGAAAAAATGCTGTCTTTATTGAATTAAGTGTGCAAACTATTAAATTTCTTAATACAAAATTCTATAATAGACAATATTTGTTAATAACAACCGTCGTTTATTTGAACATAGACGATGGTTATTAGTAATAACCATCGTCTATTTTCACAAACATCCTCTACCCATCACGTAAATCTCTAAACCAAGCTCCCCATAAAATATCAACAAAAACAAACTACCAACTGGAGCTTAACATCCATCATCTACACCACCATGGCAACTCATGCAGGTCTCTTCACCCTACAATCACTACCCCAAAATCTCTAGATCCATTAAATTAAAAAAAAAAACTATTACATCGGCAATTATAGTCTCATGAATAAAAGTGGGCTATTCCTCCACCCAATACGCTTGTGATTTTGAAGAAATTGCATGCTCTGCTAAGAGGTTTGCATCTTCATTAGCTTCCCATTTCTTTGAAAAATTTAATTGCTCTAACTGCAATAATACACTCTGCAATATCTCGATCAGTCACCTTCTCTTCTATTGTTGTTGCCACTCCTAAATTGCTCCTTCATTGTCCCTAATAATCATGCCTACACCGCTTAACTATTCATGCAAAACTAAAAGGATAAGAGATGGGGTGGATAGAGAGGGATGCAAAAGTTAGGTTTTATAAAAGGAGTAATGTTATAGACGATGTTTTGTTTTCTAAACGTAGGTTATATTAATAATAGATTATGTTTTTAGTTTTAACTGTAGTCTTTATATTTAACGGGTGAAACTATATTTTTTAAAAAATAATATAGTCTTTATTGTGTTAAAGATTACTTTTTTAGTTTTAAAAACGTAATCAATGTTAAAATTTAAGAGCTAAAAGAAAAAATAATTTTTTTATAATATATTTTTTATAAAGATTATAACTTTTAATATTAAAAACAAAGTTTTTGTTGAAACTGTAAGATTTTGAAATATAATTTAAACATAGTTATTATTAGGTGTCAAAGAATGAGATTTGGAATGTTGTGCATGTGGTCTCAATATATTATGTAATTTTTTTATATTAAATGATAAAATAAATCATAAAAACTATTTTTCCAAGATAAAAATGAGATAAATTTTGTATTTCACTGAGAATTTTAAAAAACCTCGGAAGAGGAAAGTTTATGATCAAGGTTATTTTTATTTTTCTTGACATTGTTAAGAATCTTAAAAAACCTTAAAAATTATATTCCATGAACCAAACTAAAAAAATCAAATTACAAAAAAATAAAATTCCAGCAATTAATTTTATTTTCTTCCAAACCAAACACTCCCTCGGTAATTTATTATTAAGTTATCAATGATCTATTATTAAATTATAATAATTTATTATTAAGTTATGAATGATTTTATATTAAATTGTTGGTTATTTATGACTAAGTTATTAATAATTTATTACAAAATTTTAATTAATTTATTACTAATTTATCGATAATTTATTGTAAAGTTATCAAAAATTAATTAATTTACTACTAAATTATCACTAATTTGCAACTAAATTCTCAATTTACTACTAAATTATTAATAATTTATTATTAAATTATTAATAATTTACTATTATATTTTAATATATTTACTACTATGTTATCATTAATTTATTGTTTATTTTTTTATTATTTACTATAAAACTATCACCAATTCATTACTAAATTATCAATGATTTATTATCAAATTATCACTTATTTATATTAAATTATCCATAATTATTAAGTTATCATTAATTAATTATTAAATTATCAATGATTTATGACAAAATCATACTGATGTACTTTAAGTTTCCAATGAGTAACTAATAAACTATGCTTGAATGAGTTAATTATGATTATCTTTAATGAATTTATTTACCAACATACACTATATATTCAATTGTTTTTCCAACAACTAAAAAAACAAACTTCATGTAATTGTTTTATTCTTATGAATACTAATAAATTTTGATCTCATTCTATTTTTATTTTTATTTGATCTAAAAAATTATATTTTATGTCTTAATATAAGTCTAATTATTAAAAAAGAGTCTAATAATAATACATTTAAATTAGAATTTATAAAAAGTTAGTAATGGTATTTTAATAAATTATTTTTAATATTTTTTAAATTAAAATTTTACAAAAATTATTTTACTTGATCACTTTTAGTAATTTTTAATCTAATTATAAAAATGAGTATAATAATAAAAAAGAAATTTTATTTAAATTAAAATTTATAAAAAAAATTACAAGAATATTTTAGTAAATCGTTTTAAAACTTTTGAAATTAAAATTTTAAAATTTCAAGTAACTTAATTACACATAAAGCCTATTTTTTATTTTAGTTAATTTACATTAAACTTAAAAGTAAATTAATAAAATTATATATTTAATAATAAATAAATTAATATAAAATTTTATAGGAGCATTTAGATCAATCACTTTTAATATTTTTTGGAATTAACATTTTTATATATAAATATATAGATACATGATACACCTTAAACTTGATTCTATTTAATAATAATAGAAATAAACTTATTTCAATAATACCAATAGTAATAATAAATGTAAACACAGAAAGGTATTCACACAATTCTTTTTACCGGGATAATCGGAAAAGAAAATATGCGCCCATAAGTTTGGGTAGACAACAAAAGTTAGCATGAAAAATGGCTTGGAATTTGGAAATTATAAATTGATTAAATAATAAAAAAAAACTTTCTTTTTGTTGTTTTCTTTGTTTTTCTTATTCTTGTTTGATTTTTACCAAAAACTCGTGGTTTTTCGGCTAGTATGGGTCATTGATTATTTGATTCAAAAGTTACTAGAGCACCATATTTTCCAATTTGTAGGGTCATTGATCGTTTAGACCTTTTCAAACTTCCGACCATTCATATTAAGTGTAGCCTTTAATATGGCCTAATCAAACCAAATTTTCTACACAAAATCCAAGTTCGGGAACCATTCAACGCATTCTTTGAGTCAATTTTTTGCTGACTACTTTCATTATCAGAGATCAACGTTAAACAACAAATCTAAATAGAAATTTCAAACTAGAGTCCACATCTTTAATTAAATTAATACCCATTTTTAAATTTTTTATTAGGATAAGTCCTTTTGCCTTGTCCACACAACCCAAAGACTATTTGAGCATGGAAAAAGTGGTTTGAAAAGTCACAAAAGTGCTTTTTTGAGTTGCAACAAAAGGATGACCCAAGAAATAAGCTTCAAAAAGGACATGATTTGTACACTTCGGGGTAATTGTTTTATTCAACTCTTGACATGGTTTTGATGAAGTTCCCATGGTCCAAAAATCATCTCTTTTTTTTTTTTTTTAGCTCTTTTTAATCAAGTTCACATGGATTTTGAGTAAATTTGGTGCTAGTGTTTTTATCTGCTTGACCAATACGTAATATAAGCATTTAGGAGTAAACATATTTTTGCATTATCTTCATTCTCCAATGGGAAACAGAACAAAGCTTCTGCTCTCTCTTCATGTTCTGATGCTTTACTTTCTTTCTTTTGAGACCTGTCTCTCCTTTGAAAATAATACCATTTCTCCAGGCCAATCACTCTCTGGTAACCAGACTATCAGCTCAGGAAATGAAAGGTTTGAACTTGGTTTCTTTAAGCCAGGTAACTCTACACACTACTATGTAGGCATCTGGTACAAGAAACTCCCAGTTCGAACTGTGGTATGGGTGGCTAATAGAGATAAGCCAGTCCTTGATCCTTCCACTTCAAAACTTCAACTCTCAGAAAAGGGTGACCTTGTCCTCTACGACCAATCTGGAATCCCACTTTGGTCAGCTGAGTCATCATTGAACTCCATGAATTCCACTGTTGCAGTTCTTGAGAATGATGGAAATCTTGTTTTAAGAAACAGTTCAAACCCTTTAGCCATAGTATGGGAAAGCTTTGATCATCCTACTGATACTTGGTTGTCTGGTGCCAAGCTTGGAATGAATAAGATTACCAAGAAAGGCCAAATCTATATTTCATGGAGAAATTCAAATGATCCTGCCTCTGGACCATATTCCCTGGGGCTGGACCCTAATGGAACAACCATGTATTTCATACTTCAGAATGGGAACAGGCGCTGGACTTGTGGGATGTGGCTAGAAAGAGTTTCCTCTTTTAGTACTGACATAGTTGCTATCAACTATGCAACTGTGCAGTATGTGTCAACTAAGAAAGAAAACTTCTACAGTTACAATGTCACCAACTCCTCAGTTCTTGTAAGATTTGTGATGGATATATCCGGAAAGCTGCAGCAACTCATATGGCAAGATGATTCTCAGAAATGGCGAGAGATTTGGGCAAAACCAAAGGATCAATGTGAAATCTATGCTTTCTGTGGAGCATATGGAGCCTGTAATCAGTACAGTTTGCCTACATGCGAATGCTTGCATGGATTTGAACCTAAAATTTCTGGAGAATGGAATAAAGGTAATCACACACATGGTTGTCTTAGGAGAACTCCATTGCAGTGCAACAATGGTGTGAAAGATGGCTTCAAAGTGATTCCTAACATTCGGATACCAGCAAATTCCATGATGTTGACGAATAAGAAGAGTTTGGAAGAGTGTGAATCAGCCTGCTTAAGAGACTGCTCCTGCACAGCATACACCTATGATGGTAACTGCTCCATATGGCAAGAAGATTTGTTGAACATCCAATACCTCTCATATGGTGACAATCTAGGAAGAGATCTACATTTCCGGCTTCCAATGACAGAGCTGGGAGCTTTGAGAGGTGAGGCGAGGGGAAGAATTGAGTGGTTCACTATTAGTTTAGCTGCAGCAATTGTAATTTTGATTTTTATCTTGGGACTCCTTGTTTCAACATGCTGGATGAAAATTTTCTCTGATACTAAGCCTACTGATGATGGTTTGATTCTCTTTAAGTTCGGTGATTTAAAGAGTGCAACAAAGAATTTTTCAGAAAAATTAGGTGAAGGAGGCTTTGGTTCTGTTTTTAAAGGAACACTTCCAAATTCAGCTGTCGTAGCTGTAAAGAGACTCAAATGCCAAGGCCAAGAAGACAAGCAGTTCCGCAATGAAGTGAGTACCATCGGGACAATCCATCATGTTAATCTCGTTCGCCTTCTGGGGTTTTGCGTGAAGGGCATGAAGAGGTTTCTTGTATATGATTACATGCCAAATGGTTCCTTGGACAGTCATCTGTTTTATAAGGATTCAAAGATCCTAGACTGGAAAACAAGATATCATATTGTACTGGGAGTAGCTCGAGGATTAGCCTATCTCCATGAGAAGTGCATAAAACGCATCATACACTGTGATATCAAGCCTGAGAACATTCTGCTTGATTCTGACTATAATCCTGTGCTTTCAGACTTTGGCCTAGCAAAGCTGTTAGGCAGGGATTTCAGTCGTGTGTTGACTACTATGAAAGGAACCAGAGGGTACCTTGCACCTGAAATGATTTCAGGTGATCCAATAACTCCAAAATCTGATGTTTTCAGCTATGGAATGTTGCTTTTGGAGATAATATCAGGAAGGAGAAACTGGGAGACAGGAGATGATGGGACAAATAATTACTTCCCAGCTCGCGCTGCAATCTGCGTAAGCAATCGAGGAGATGAACTAAGTTTGTTGGATTCCAAGTTACAGGGGAATGCAAATGCAAACGAAGTCATCAGAGCTTGTAGACTTGCATGTTGGTGCATTCAAGATGCAGAGCAAAGTAGGCCATCCATGGGGCATGTTGTTCAGATCCTGGAGGGAGTGCGAGAGATCAATATACCACCAATTCCATGGTTTATCCAGACAATAGTCTTTGACAAATGAGAACAAATGTACTAGTAGTTCAAACTGCTTAGCAGGCTAGGTGAACCAGTTTCGCCATTAATATGTAGTAGCTCAATATTGTCAAGTTCCAATTACCAAATACCATCAGAGTAGCTTTAGGCTTTAGCTTTACATCAAGATGCATGTTTCTTTGTATATTGTATCATCCTTAACGAGTAATTGCTAGGAATCTGAAATAACCCCACTGGTTGAATCCCTTCAATCAAGTTTAGCTTTACTGCCTTTATTCAGTTAGGATTTATCTCAATTATGGAAATGCTACAACAATTCTCCATAAAGGCGTCTCATGACATTCTCAAATAGATGGAAGTCAAAATTTCAAAAATACAACCAATCAAACCATAAGTGCATAGTTTTGGCCTTACTAAGCATTCAGACTGAACTACCAGCAACATTATGAGTTTTTAGTCCATCCCTCATGGGATGCAAAGAACAAAATTAACTTACTTTTGCCACTATGGACCTAGCTACTCGCTTGTTGATCAACCAAAAAGGTTGTCCATAACTCTCATCTCCACCTTCAGACAAGATAATAGTAACCAAACGCCAGAAGTATCAGCACCACCAGCGCAACAGGAACAGCCCATATCCAATAGTTAGTAGACTTCTTTCGTTTCATAATAGTTCTTGGAAGTGACTCGGGTCCTTTAGTTCGATTCCTGTACCTAATAGTATTCTCTTTTTTTACCTTATCCTTCACTGATACAGAAGCAGGAACAGGTTCATCAGCGTTAACATCAACCTTCTCAGGAACTGAAGCCTCTGCCACTGCTTCTGCTGGTTCCTCAGGATTTGCAGCAGTTGTAGACACTGCAGCCTTCTTCTTTGCTTTCTTTTCACGCTCCTGAAAAAAAAAATCAAAAGAATTTCAGTTTCAGCCAGCAAACTAATTATCAAGAAGCAAAACAAGATAAAGAAGGAAACAATTACCTTGAGCCTCTTTTCAGCATCCTTTTGAGCTCTTATAGCTGCTTTGGCTGCTGCTTTTTCAGCCAATTTCTTCTTCCTTTCCATGGCTTGCTTTGCTTTTGCTATCTCCTCTTCTCTCTTCATTTCTTTCACTTTTGCTGCATCAACTTCCTTGTCTGCAGAAGTGTCCTTTTGCAACTTGCCTGATCCAGATATCTCCTCCGGTACAACACCATTCTCTGGAGAGGATTTTGACTCAATTACTTTGGTATCAGCATCTTTCTGGACTTTTTTGGGAACTTTAGTATCTGGTTGGAGAGAGAGGTTGGCTTCTTCCTTTGGTTGTCTTATGCTAGGTTTTGGAATAATTTCAGCTTCAAAAGGCACCAGTACCTCTGGTACAGCCAGTGGCTTCTCATCAGGATTCCTTATCCGACCATCCCTACTTAATTGCCTCTGGTCCAGGGATGGCAGAATTCTTTTCTCATAATCATCCCTGAAGGCTTTCTTGCCACTCCAAAGAGCCATAAACTTCTCAACCTAAAAGCAATATAAAAGGTAAGATAGCAACCAAATACAAAAGCACAAGAGATACTCTGGATGTAACATTAATCAGCTGTCTCAACAAACCTCTGCAGTTGAAAGCTCCTCGAGAGCTTTATATCTTTCTTCACAGCTAGCTCTTTGGCTTTGTTTAAGAGTGATCGGCTCTGGTAAAAGTGAGCATTCTGAAAAATTGAAAAAAAATAGTAATTAAGACAAGTCCTTGGTATTAGCATGCTGAAAGAAGTTTTGAAACTGAAAATAAACATCATGACGGTCCTAAACAGAATGAAAGCACAATGGCAAAACCACATAAAAGTTCAACTAAACCAAGAATTTTGCTCAAACAACTCAATCTACTATAAAAGATGATGCCACAGAAGCTTTTAAAAAGGATTTCAATCTTTATATAACACGCATTATGATAAGGTTATCTTGTTAATATACTTCCTCAGCCACTTTTTCCCTCAAGCTGTCCCTTGCCCTTGTGCACTGAACCAACATAAGGGTCATTACTCATTACTGGTTACAGTCCCATAAAAGTAAACTTTTATACAGAAGTCCCAACTTTGGCTTCTTCACTTAGTGAACACAAATATGGATATAAAAAAATAAGAACATATCCTTGTGAGCCTAAGAGTTTCATCATAGTATAAAACGGTGGCCTCTTCCACTGATCAATAATGTGCCAGTGAATTTATGATGCTAAAAGGAAAACACTCTTGATCACCTTCCAAGCACCCAAATATTCAAACTCAGGCCTCAAATTTACAAATTGTAACTTTGTCAAAACCAACTCAATCACACACAAAAATCCACATTGCTTTTCCTTAAACAAATTGTACAGCGGGAAATATTTACACCAGGGATACCAGCAAGGTGTTCTTAAAACAGAAAAGACAATAGATGTTCATATACACGGTAATACATTTACATAGCATGTCTATGTTTAGTGCATGACAACAAAGAATCAACAAGATTCCAAGAACGTGCCATTTGAACCAGCAAAGGTTAACAGTAACAAATTTTATTCATCTCCCATCACAGAAAGGCAGACAACTGTCTTAAGTGACAGTATCTCTTCACGTATAAAAAAATGTTTGGATATGGTCATGTATGCATATGAAACAGAGATATTAAGATTTGAAGCAAAGAAAAGACATTACCCCCTCATCACGTTGTTTCCTCAGTTCCTGAATGGTTTCATATGCTTTGTCCCTCTTCTGAGTCACAGCTGTCAGCTCCTCCTGTAAAGAGTCAATTTTACTCTCTATTGCCTTCACTTTTTCTTTAATTTGATTTTTTTTGGACCAGACCACTTGCTGCTCCTTTCTTACTCCATCCAGATCAACACCCATAAGCTACAATAAAACAAATATAGTAAGTTTATTAGTGTAATGCAATGATAATCTCTATTAATACAGGGAAGAGGAAAAGCAAATTTCAATGAATAAAAGGTGCAAAATGAGATTCTCTTACTTTAACCTGATCTTGTATGGCTTCCTTCTGACCCAATGAATCCTGAATCTTTGCTCTCATTGCAGCATTAGCAATAACTTTTTCCCTAGTTCCCTCTAGTTGTTTGATTTCTCTAAGGATTTGCTTCTCCTCAGCCAATGGAATGCTTTCATGCTGAATGCGATATTGCAAGCTATAGATCTGCAATTCATCAATTTCCAAGAAGTAACAAAAGAGAAAAGAAAAGGTTTAACTGCAGCATAAAACAAATGAAAAATCTCAATGCAGTCAAAGTTTACACTAGTATCATACAATATCATTGAGCTCTTCCTCAGATGAACATATACCACCACGACCTCCAGGTCCAGCATTGTTATTATTACGAAGCTTGCTCAAAGCCTGCTGCAGCGGTTCTATTTCCCTCTTTTTCTCACCTAAAATCGCCTTAAATTGCTCAAAATCAATATTCAGGGCTTTCACTTGAGAAAGCAACTCTCCTCGATCTAACTGCATTAACATTAAGATAATACCTTTAAATGTAATTGAGATCAGAGCTAGCTGGCAGCACACTTATTTTTAAACTTCTTTCACAATTTGGCTCAACATTTTAAGGCAAATACAACAACAACAAATCGACATACCAAAAAGGTATTCTACATCACAACGAAATAACAACCGCATATGTGAAATTGTCATTACATGCTCAAGGACTTAAGTTTTCAGCAATCAGATAAATGTATCCAGGCTTAATGCCTCTACATTCATCATATTACTATAAACACGTCCAATTACATTAAAACAAGTTTTAAAGGCTCGTCACAACATTAATGTCACCTAATCTACAGGAACCAATTAAAAGCAAAACAAGATAGGGCAAATAAATATCTTATAAATATAACAACTAATGGTTATAAACAGGATATCATGTTTGACACATAATACATGACGAGGCATCTTTATTGAGCTAGTTTCACACCAATAATGCTGCTATACATCTAATCGAAATTAATAGCTTTTCACTCACCCTCATCGGTTTTAATTCATCAGTAAGCTGAAACCTGGCCTTATTCCACTTTTGCATTTCTTTATCAGCCTGATCAATTTTGGCTTTTATCTTTGGATCGTCATAAGGACGATACCTGATAAAATAAAAATAGTGCATCTGCTTAGGTGCAGGCCACTCGTCAACTGCATCCTTTGGAAAGTTGGCATCGGATGCATTATTCTCTTCTCCCTTATCTGGTTCTTCACCATGGGAACCAACTGTAAGGGGCTCATTATTAACTGGATCCTTGTCCAGTTTCCCATTTTCCTTATCATGCAGAAATGATTTCTCTACTTCAGTTACTTTGTCAACAGATATTTGTGCCATGTCTGATCCCACAACCTCAACACCCATTAATCACAAAAATGAACAACCTAACAAAATCCAAAAACAAAGATTAAGGTACCACATTATATAACCAAAATATAAATACCATTTTATTTATGAAACAAGAAACAAGAAAAATAATAAATCCAAACCAATTTGTCTTTCTAACTTTTTGTCAATTGGATTAAAAGAGTTAACAAGCTGATAAACCATACACCTGCTTGACATAAATAAAATAACACATTAAAAAAAAGAAAACAAAATTAAAAAAAGTTTTACCAATAAAAGTTGAAATAGACCAATCTAAAGCGATTTCTTTTGCTAGCTTTCTTAATTAAGATCAAAACATATAAAAAAGGAAGAACTTCAAAAAATAATTCAGAATTTTCTGAGATCTCTACAACCAAGATCAAATTAAATAAATTGAACAACAAAAATATATAATTGATAAACTACAATAAAAAAATAACAAGACAAAATCCAGATCAAAAATTAAATAAATAAAAACACGCACATCAAATCAATAAAACTATGTTATAAGTAACACAAGATCAGGCCTTTAGCTATCAAGAAAGCTAACTTGCATAACATTATGAAAAAAATTTAAAAACAAAAAAAAAAAAAGAATTTTCAAAATATGAAATGAAAAAGTCAACATATCAAATGAAAAACAAAAACCCAGAAAGAAAAACATAAGAAATGAAAGAAAGATTAAAGGATTACCCTTTTAGAGAGATTATGTAGAGAGGAGAAGACCCTTTTAGAGAAAAAGGGTCTAAAAAATTTTAAGAGTTTCGGCAAATGAAAGAGAGATGGGTCAGATCTCAGTCTCTATTACCTCTGTTTCTCTTCTGCTTTGTTTCAAGAGAGAGATTTGTGGTTTATGTC